ATCTTGATCAAGTTTTCCATTTTTCTTGTATATATATCAGCTTCTTCTATATTTGTGTAAAGCTTGTAACTAGCTCTTCAATTATTCGTAAGAAGGATTGTATCTCAGCTTCATTATTTTAAGAAGTTCAAGTATTAACTTTCAATGAATTTCAGTATTGACATTACTTGTGAAAGTTTCGTCTTGTTTTAGGTTAAGTTCACTTTCCTTAAATCCTTTAAATTTTTTTCTGGCTTTATAACATTTAACTAGTCGAACTGTAAGCTCATCTAACTCAACATTTACTTCTGAGGTAAGATGATTATTACTGGAATATTATAATGATGATTGAGTTGATTGTAATAACTTTGGTAAGCAAAATGATCAAAGACGCTTAATTTTAGCATTTAGCTGATCATTTTTTTGGCCAAATGTTTCATTTATGTCTATCAACATCTGATTTTATCTTGTAAACTCTTAATTTTTGTCTTCAAGATTTTCACTTGTTCAACAAATTCTTAATTTTGGTGCTTTAATTGATCGTATTATTTTCGTAAATCATAGATTTTCTATTTTAATAATTCATTATTTACTAAAAAGCAACAAAATATATTTATTTAGTAATTAGATTGATAGCACGCATAATTCGACTAAAAATTAGACCTATAGGTAAGTTTTTTACCGGTATTGTTGTAGAAGTACTTGTAGCAGTTTTCCGTTCATCATCAATGCTAATTAGGTTATTAGCAAGTGAATGTTGAATTTTTTGCTTGCAATTCTCTAATATTATTGATCTCTGGTCAACTTTTCAAGAAGGAGCTTTTTGTATCTCATCTTCTCAAGGGTGATGGGAAAATATTTTGACTAACATCTTCTTGGGATGGAGTATTTGATCAAATATTTGATTGAATACTTCCAACATCCTCTTAGGTTGGAGTAGGTGAATTCGACTAATACCTTCTTGAACAGAAAAAATTTGTTAAGTGCGATGATATTGCTTAATATTAGCTAATTGACTATTATATTTATTTTGGCTCTTTGAAGAAACAGTATTTTGTTCAACTTCCTTTGTTCCTTCTAAATCTGGATTAGGGATCAAATTTTTATCAAAAATTTTTTTATCTTTATGAAACATAATTTTAGTGTATAAAAATTATTATCTTTGTGTAGTTGTGTGTGATAAAAAAATGCACTTTATTAAAATTGGTGAAATAGTGAAAATTTATGTTTATTTTTATGATCTTGTAAAGTTTATTAAGTGATTAATTGATAAAAAGTATCATTAGTTCGATATTAAAATTAAACTTTTGCTAAGAAAATTAGCTAATATAATAAGCTTTTGTGAAATAGACATGTGATATTGTTAGAAATAAATAATTTTCTTTGTTTACTTTTTACTTTCAAAATGCGTACAGTTAAAATTCATTTCATCTGAAGGCATTTACAATCAAATTTTTAATAATAAATAGAAAAAGAGCGATTGTTAGCATAATTAATAACAAAACATAAGTAAATCATTTTTCTAGTAAATCTACTTGTAAAAAAAAACTAAGATTACACTGTTACTGTAGTGAATGTAATGGTAATTTTGTGGATTCGCATACAAAGGAGCTACATGATCTAAAAAATCAAAATTCAGCCAATAATTCTTCTAATGAATCGATCATGAATTGTGATATGAATACGATTCAAGAAAATGAACTTGAATCAGTTATTGTTTATGAATCATCTACATCAGCTTCCTTACATCAATTTGGTCAAATTCAACAAAATATACAAGAAGGCGAAACATTGGATGAATCTGAATTTATCTTTTTATCTAAAAAATCTAAAAGACGTACATATACTAATCATCAGATTTCAGCTGCTTAACTTCTTTTAGATCATGAAGATTCAGTAAATAAAGGAATAGAATTCATAACTGATGATCAAAATACTGAGTTTTCTTCAGAGGATACTATATCAACATCAATTAGCGATGAGGAAAGTTTTAAATTTGAAGACTACTCATATTCTAGTTTTGAATCATTTCATGATCTAATTACCACAG